CAGGGGGATATGGAATTTAACCTTCTTGATGGGTAAATTCTTATTTACATAAAAAATGAAATCTTTAAGAAAATAGGGCACATTTTGACCAAGAAAATACAGACTGTTACTGCAAAAATATAGATAGATAGATAGATAGATAGACTACACTTGATCTTAGCCAAAAGGCCAAGAAGCAATGCAAAAAAACCCAGAAAACTGAGTATATGGTGTTTCATTTTTTCTCTTAAGAAAAACCTTGTTTGTGCCCCAAGATTATTCAGATATAAACAAGCAGGTTAGAGATTTATCCCAATAGGTCCTTGAAGAGGTGGACACAATTGCCATCTAGATAAAGTTTGCTGCCTACTTTTGTTTGCTGCCCCCAACTTAAGGATGGTCTTTGGGCCTCCCCTGGTGGTGTAGGCGGTTGAGCGCCGTGCTGTGCAGCGCCGGTTTGATCCCAGCCGGCGGGTGAGGGTCCCACATGGCGTGGCAGACCTCTCCTGTCTCGCCCGCTGCTTCCCTCAGCAGTGTGTTTTGTTAGTCTGCCTGTTCTGCTCCCCACTCTGTCTCTGGTGACTCCTCTTACCCTCCCGCGCATCTGGCCTGTACCCCAGTTCTTGTGTAAATAAATAAATAAATCTTTAAAAAAAAAAAAAAAGAATGGTCTTTCTGTTATTTAATGGTGCTTGAAAAAAATAAAAAGAATTGTATTTCATGATATAAAACAATTTAATTAAGATTTGAGTGTCCATAAATAAAGTTTTATTGGAGCCCAGCTCAGCTCCTTTGGCTGCTTTCTCACTGAGATTGCAGGTCTGAGTACCTGCCACCGTGACCTGATGGCCTCCGGGCCCAACAGATTCATCATTTGCCTTTCACAGGAAGAGTCTGCAGACTCGGTTGAGGGTAAAACTATCTTCATGCGCTTTATTGTTGAGAATCCAAATTAGATTGTTGGTATTGGAAATCAGTTCTAAAAAGACTCTCGTGTTGTCTTTTTGAACTTAGATTATTTTCTTAGCTAAAAGTGGCAGAAATGGATTAGAGATAATAAGATAATAAGGCATATCTTTTGGAGGTGTCTGTCTTCCCGAGTTAGTGTCTCTAGATGGCCGTGGAGGTCAGCCTGCACTGTTTCCTTATTCTGAAAGTATCTCACAATTTCTTGCCAGAATTAACTAAGATGGCGTACTATCAAATGCTTGAAAGCATGCCTGGACTTTCTAAAACTCAATTAGTGCTAATTATTATTATTATTATTATTTGTGTATGTGTGTGTGTATAGAAGAACTGGGGTGTAGGCCAGAGGTGTGGGGGGGGGTGAGAGAACTCACCAGAGACAGAGTGGGGAACAGAACAGGCAGACTGAAATATACTGCTGAGGGGAGACAGGAGAGGTCTGCTGCGCCATGTGGGTAGCTCCCTGGCCGGGGATCGAACTCGTGCTGCAGTGGTGACAGCGCCGAGACTTAACCACCAGGGAGGCCCTTATTATTATTTTTTAGATGGGTGATGTTTGTTTTAAATCCTTGCGAATTCTGAGCATAAACTTCTATTACAAAAGCACCTGTCTTTAGGATTCAGCGTTTTCAAAGGGTCCATTAGGTAAAAGTGCTTTGGGCTTTTGTTAGCAGAACAGCACCAAGGGGTATAGGTGCCAGTTGAGGATAAAAATGTTACAAATGTATCTTCCGAGAGACATTGATCATTTCTCACAGGCTGTGCTGATCTCACCTCAGAGGAATGGGTTGGGACCCACAGAATCGGTGAGTTGATTGGCTCCAGCCAAGTCTGTCCTCTATTCCATAACCACAGCACTACCTTAAGCACGCTCAAGGCCACGAAGCCCACGATTTTCACATGAGGACATCAAGGCCCAGAGACCGGGTGAACTGGACCGGGGCCACACAGTAAGGCGACCTACAGAGCCATGAATAGTACTTGGGTCTCTAACTCAGACCTTGTGCTTCCTCAGCAGTAACAAACATGCATTCCACACCCTCTTCCTTCCCACCTGACACTTGAGCTCAGTGCCTAGCACAGTTTTCAGCAAATGCAACAACAAAAAAAGGAATGAATAAGCTGTGTGAAATCTTTAAAGTCCCCTAAAATACGCACATGAGGAAGAGGCTTATTCCATTGGATAATTGAAGGTAACTGCACAGGAAGATATTTATGGTGGGTCTGCCCCAGCATCCTGTATCTATGCGTCTGCTGTGATCACTCACATCCAGGCCAGCATGCTCTGCCAGGTGAGAGTCCGAGTTGTTGGTGATTCTGCCTCTACATGCGAGTTTATGCTTTTCCCTTTTCCATTTGCACCTGCTCATAATTTATATTCTAGTGGTGTATTTTATGAATGTGCATAAACCACCTTCAATCCATATTGGAATAAATGCATAAATAAAGGCATGGATATATGGATGGCTAGAGAAGTAAAAAATGAGAAGAATAAATGGATAAGCAGGGTAAAGAGAGACAGTCAATCAACCGACCATTAATCTCTTTTAGATTGGCACACAGTAGGTGCTTAATGAATACTGGTTGACAGCATAGCTAGATTAATATATTTTGGGAAGCTTTTCAACATGCGAAGTCACAACAAACCATAGACTGACCTTTAACCTGATTAAACCCAACATACTCCAAAGGCTTTCAGTGAGATAAGCCTTTTAGTATCTGTCCTGGTAAGGGGTCTGGGAACTCAAGGGCTTGTGTTGAGGATTCCAGGGCTCAAGGCAGCAGTGGTTCCTGCTCTCATGGACTTTATAGTGTAGAAGAGCACCTGGCATTTAACATAAACCTCACAAAAGAAGGTAACACATGATACAGGATGTGAGGAGTGATTTGACTAAACTGTGCCTTTATTTAGGAGAGCTTTAGTGTGAGTGAGCTCCTTGGGAAAGAGAGATTTAATAATATATGAGAATGAGTTGGAGTTTAATGGTGTAAGGTATGTTTTCCAAATGGGCAGAGGAACTAAAATGACACCTTTTCAAAGAAGAAATGCAAATGACTAAGAGGTATAAGAAAAAAAGTTCAATGCCATTAATGATTGGGGAAATGCAAATCAAGACCACGATGAGCTACCACCTCACACCAGTGGGAATGGCCTAGATTTAAAAAAAAAAAAAATGGAAACAACAAATGCTGGCAAGAATATGGGAAAAAAAGGAACACTCTTACAGTGCTGGTAGGGATCCTGACCACTGTGGAAAGCTGTGTGGAGGATCCTTCCAACACCGAAACTGAAGCTACCATATATCCCAGAGATTCCGCTTCTAGGATCTACCCAAAGGACACAAAAATAAAATATTAATTTGAAGGAAACCTGAACTCCTTTGTTTATTGCAGCACTAATTACGATAGCCAAGATATGGAAATAACCCAAATGCCCCAAAACAGACGAATGGATCACAAAGTTGTGGTCTATATAAACAATGGAATACTACTCGGCAATCAAAAAGGCAAACTCTTGCCATTTGGGGCAACATTTTGGAGCTGGAAGAGATTATGCTAAGTGAAATATGTCAGAAGGGAAAAGGATAAATACTGGATGGTTTCACTTACAGGTGGACTATAGAGAAACTTAACAAAGGGTCAGGAAAAAGACAAAACTTGCAAGCTGACCATAGATCAGAAGGGTCGGCTTAGGGAGGGGCAGGGGATGGGGTGAGAACAGGGGCTGGAGGAGCACATGGGACTATGGTGATGATCACGGGTGCTGTGATGGTGGGACAACTATGGGGACCACACCCGAGGGGAGAAATCAAATGTACAAAAGTGAACAATAATATAAGAAAATAAGTAAATAAATCTAGAGGGGGGAAAAAAGATATGTTTCCACAAGTAGGACATATGAGCACATTCCAACCACTAGCACTTTGGGAAATTTCTGTTCTCAGTGGTGAATTTACGAGACCAGGAGCCCCAGAGATACATCAGATCTAAAGCTACCTTAGTCAGCGCAGGCCTCTTCTCTTAAGCTGTATGGCAACACCAAGGTCATTGGAGGAAGCAGGGAAAAGCTCAACTTTTGAGGGTTCACCAAGTCATCGGACAGCCCTGTTGGTTGACTGTGTATCTAGCTCATTAATTGGCTCCTGTCGCAATGTGATTATGAATATTCATCTCACATAAAAGAATAAACAGTTGATTTTGATAAGCATCACTAACAATTTATGCTATTTAATGTAGAGTGGGTCCAGTGCATCGAGTGGATCTTCTAACAAAAGTCACCAAGAGTGATGGGAGTCCCTTCTGAGGGTGGGTCCCACATGACGGCACCTTTGGTTTTGCTGGCACCTTCTCAGTACCCCCCCACACCCGCCAACGTGCCTGCTCCGATGAAGCAGCTGCATAGTGTGAGCTGCCCTATGAAGAGGCAAGAAATTTAGGGTAGACTCTGGCCAACAGCCAGATGAAACCCTCACTGCAATAGAGCACAAAGAACTCAATCCTCTCAGCAGCTTACAGGTATCCTGGAGAATTTACGAGACCAAGAGCCCCAGAGACGCCAGGCCTTCCCAGTTGAACCTTTATTTTTTATTTCTATTTTTTTAAAGATTTATTTATTTATGCATACAAGAGCTGGGGTGTAGGCCAGAGGTGTGGGGGGTGAGAGGACTCACCAGAGACAGAGTGGGGAGCAGAACAGGCAGATCTCCTGAAATACACTGCTGAGGGGAGCAACGAGCAAGAGCTCCCAAGAGGTCTGCTGTGCCATGTGGGCAGCTCCCTGACGGGGGATTGAACTCGTGCTGCAGTGGCTGTGGACAGCTTCATAGTGCTGAGACAACCTCTTGTGCCACAGGGAGCCCCCCCAACCCCAGTTGAACCTTTAGATTAAAACAGAACTTCAGCTGACACTCCGATTGCCGTCTGTGATAGACCTTGATTCAGAAGCTCCCAGTTACCTTATGCCTTTATTCTTGGCTGACAGAAACAATGGGGGCGGGGGATTTGTTGCCATAGCAACATCAAGGGCTGAGTAATACATCTCTTTTATCTTTCAGGGGCTTTGTTCCCAATAAATCTCCTAACTCTGCTGTCTGAGGACCCAGAGGCCATCCAATGTGTGCTTGGGGAAAGGTCAAGCGGTGAAGGTGAGTGGCATAGAGGTGGGAAGAGAGAGGTTTTCAGCCCAGGGCGCAAGACGGAGAGCAGATAGGATCAAGGAATGGGATTTGGGAGCAGCTTCTGATTGCAAGAGAAAAGTCAAAGGGATGGAGAAGTCAGACCTCGCCCTTCCAGAATGTCTCCATCACCATCCCCAAGTCCCAGCCCTCTCCGCCAGACACTGGTGAGAGTCCCTCCTTCCTCCAGGCAGCGCCGAGGAGCACCTGGGAAGATATTAGTAGTTTCAGTGTCAGCCTCTCTGAGAAGCCGTGGGAGCTCCCTGAGGGCAGGGCGGGCATCTTAATCGCTGCTGACTTCCTACGCTCCCCAAGGCTCAGCAGGAACTCAATGGGTGTCTGAACAAACGTGGGATGAGAATGGGTGAAACCAGCAAAACAGGACGTCTGTCACGCGGGTAAGTCAGTTAGCAACACAGTCCTGGGCACTTAAAAACTCATTACGAGGGTAGATCTGAACTGTTATTACCACCATTAAAAAACAAAACAAGACAAAGCTCAGCCCTGGCAACATCTGCCCTGTCACACATGCGAGCTTTTGTTCCAGGGCAGCGAGAGGGGCACTCCAGACCCCGCAAACCTGCCTGCTCAAAACGGGTTCTGCCATCAGCACAAAACCTATGAGACTTTAATGGGAAGGAACTTTAATACAATCAGGAAACAATACAGAAACGACAAAGAATCTAGTTTCTGAATCAAGCACCCAAAGTTGCCAGTCCCCTCGTGGGTAAAAGTCCACCCAAATAGGACTGACCCAGAGCAAGGCCCCAAAGCCTGCCACAAGTCTAAGGCATCTTCCAGTGGGGACCCACAGAAGAAAATCAAAAACAAGCAAACAAGTCTGGAGGGAAAAGAGCAAAATCAACATCAAGACAAAAACCGCCTCTGTCACCTCCCCACGGGTCTCACCCACATCTGTGTCACCCCGTCCATGACCAAAAGGCAAGTGCAGTTTCTTCACGTGTCTCTAGGCTCCATGCGCTTCCTCCAGGTCTCCTGGCTCCATCCTGCTTCCTTCTCTTCCTCAGTCTCTTCTGCAGCTTCTTCTCTCCCTGCTCAGCTCTACCCTCCCTTGGGTGGGGCAGGAAACCTAAAACCTTCCCTTTTCCTGGGGACCCCCCTGTTACAGTTTTCATTTACTAGGTGCAAGTCATAGACACAAACGCTCTCATTTAACCCTCTTCACTCAGGAGCGAGTTAACTCCTGCTTCCCACGGTGTAGAGAGCAGACAGGGAACAACACACTCGTGGTGAGGAGCGACAGCTGCAGCTGAGCACAGGTCTTGAGTCTTGGGACTGGAAGGTCTCTGCTCTGTAGGAGGACTCATCACATCCTCTGGACTTAGAGGCACTTCCAGTGTTTAGGGGCTGAGCCTCCAGGCAGCAGAATCTGCTTTCTCATCTCCCTTTAGCCATTTGGTTCCTGGGAAGTTCAGGTCCTTCTTGCTGAGGGGTGGGGCTTATGGGGTGACTGTCCAGTCCATGGTTGGCCGAGATGTCTGAGGTTGCCTGTAGGCAATAATACTGTCCTACCCGTGCCTCCCTCTTGCTTTGTTCCCTTGCCACTGTGCCTATCAGTGGTTGGTTTCAATGTCATGGAGATACAGTCATAGTTTATCTTTTGAACGATGCCACCACCAGTTGTTGAAAAGATAGACGTCTCATCAATAAGCAAGTCATCATTCTGCACTTTTGGATCCTTTCACGTAACCATCCTTCTGCCGTCCTGCTGTGACAAGGTATGGCTCTTCCATAGGAATGGAATCCATAGGCTGGTTTTTCTTGGCGATATCGACAAATAAAAGAGTGTGGGGATTATAGAAGGCGGTGCAAAAGCTCCTCAAACATCAGGATGCGCATGTTTCCCTGGTAGACAAGGAGGTTCACGCTGAGCTAGCATCTGGCCTCAATGTCTTCATAGTCTGCTCTGGCCAGAGAGCAGAGCACATTTGGGTGGGAGCACACCACGCTTTTGCAGAAGAATTGAAAAACACATGAAAATGGCCAAAATGGCCATGGAAAGCATCCTTTGCTGATATGGTTTAAACAATTACTTGAATGATTTCTGATCTACATTTCTATTTCGATCAAATTTGTATTTGTTTCTCATTTATTGTGTAACAAAAGCAAAATTCTTTCAGGGGCCAGGAAAATTTCCTTAATCTTGCTGTGTCCTAGCCTGTGGGATTCTCCTTGAAGAACTAGAGTTTTCAACTTAGTGAGAAGGCAGCCTGCTTCCTAGTAGCCTCTCCCAAGCACTAGTATCATCAATGCTCTTTGGAAAAGAGAATCCTTCGGTCGAACATGTTTAACAGCCTACAGTTAAAAATGGATATTATTATGAAGGGCACTGAGAAGTCCTGTAGTAAAGGAGCTTTTAAAAGAGGAACATCAACTTATTTTATCTCCAAACCCCTTTTCAGATCAAATTGAATATCATCCTGTGGCATTAGCGATCCATGAGCATAATCTGCAAGAAATTACTTTTAAAAGTCTTCTTCATCTCCATGATCCTACAATAAACTTCCTCTGTGGATTTTGGTTAGTATTTGTATTGTGACAAGTTGTACATTTCAGAAACATTCGATCAAATCTAAATATCTGCATTTTCTATTGCTGGAGCCTTTAGAATGTACTAGAAATAGTACAGAGGACTGACCAGTCTGGTTGGCACCAAACATTCATCTTTTAGCAGTGAATGTTCTTAGTCGGGGGACACCCCTCAGTCCCTGATAATTCGGGACATCGGGTCTCCCTGAAAATAGAACAGCCTTCCTGAGCTTGACAAATTGCTCATCTTTCCTTCCCCATCCAGTTCTCATCTCTCCCCTTCTCCCCTCAAAATATCAGCACAGAAAGAATTGTCTGGTAATTCGGTGAGATTGCAAGCCAAGAAAAAAAAGAGCAATTGCCTTTGCAGACACCGATCCTGTGGGTTTCAGTTCCAGAGAGTGGATTTGTCCCATTCAGCCCACCCAATAGAAGAAGACATCCCAAACTTAATTAAGGTCGAGCGTGAGTTTGCTTTACAAACTATTCATCCTCATGGCGAAAAATCAAGACGTGCTTTGGAGGAAACATTCATGCTAAAAATGCCAGATGTGTTTTTGTATCTTTTATCAGCTTTTAAAGAAATGTAGAATCCCCTGTTGTAATGAAATCTAGACCAGTCAAGTTGCTGGGTATGGAAATTTTGTGCAGGAAGTACCTTGTCTGCCTCTGCCCTTGAACATTTTTTTTTTTCCTGAGGCTTTCAAATATATTATATTTGATTGATGAGATCCACACGTGTGTACAAGCTTCCTAGTTCAGAGATTTTATTTCCTCGCTGTGGTCCAAACTCTGTGAAGTACACATACTTTGTTATTAGAGACCAGCGGAGTTCCCGTGTCTTCCTCTAATCCCCGTTATTCTAAATTCCAGTCACTCCACATTGCATTTTCATAGTTTCAGTTAAACAGAACATTTAAAAGACACCACTGCCTCCAGAACTGGATTCCTTATTTTTTGCTAAAGCAAAAACAAGTAGGAGCATCCTTTAAATAACAATATTTTCTGATGTTAATGTCGAATTAATCCAAGAAATGAATATGTATTGATGGTATTCTTTTGGGTTTTGAAAATCCTTACAACCACATAATTAAATGAGTGCCTTTAGAAATACTGATAAAAGCCCATTGCCATTCAAATATCTATACAAGACAATGGCCGTAAGCTGTGGGTTTGGGAGATTAGTTTGGCCACAAGCCAGTGTTTATCACAATATTTCCATCTCAGCTGATAAAATTTAATCATTCTTATTTAAATAGAAATCAGAATTAATGCAGGTTTTAAAGAGAAGGAATAATAAACGAATCACACTATCTTTATTTCAACGCTCCTGGCATGCATTGTCTATTCAGAATGGAAATGCGAGCGGTGCTTGTGTTTCTACTTTGGACTTTCATTCCAGAGTCTTCAAAAATAATGAGCTGGTGCTTCTTGAGGATTTGTTTCTTGAGCTCTGCTTTAAGGAAAGCGGGCTTCACCTCTCTATCACAAGGGCAAGCGCAGCACAGGCGCGGATGGGAGTTGGCGGGGCACGGTCGTGGAGTGCTGATGGAAGTGGACTGGACCCATGTCTGGGTCCCTTGAGACCAACAGCAGAAGTGAGGAGGCAGCTCCTGTGAACTGGGTGTGAGCCTCTGGCCCAGGACCCTACAAGCACTAGTGGCCATTGTTCAGAGTCCAGCCGCCGTGGTGGAGGGAGAGGCTGGCCCTCCGTATGGACAGATCCAACCCAAGAAGCTGGCCATTCAGTCCATGCTGCTCATTCTGTGGCCAGGAAGCTGAGCCCCCAAGAGCAGACGTGATTGTCTGAGGGTCACCATTCATTAGCAGTAAAGCCGGGATGGAAATCAGGCCCCCAGATCCCAGCCTGGCGTTCTTTTGACTCTATTTTTCTGTTAGCCCAGACCAAGCTTCAGAGCGCGCACCATTCAGTACCATTTTGTTTGACTCTGTCCACACATTTTTGGCCAATGTGTCAAGTGGTTTATACCAAATCAAACCCATTCAAATTCCAATGCCTCCCTCCATCCACGTAGTATAGAACCACATCTTGCTAGGACTTTTATTTCTTGGGTGGAACGGTGCAGGGAACTTCTTATTTCTCCTCCTCTTCCCCTCTTCAATAGCATTAAAAAAATTAAATGTCTTACATTTAAATATAAAAAAAAAAATTCCATAATTTTACAGTCCAGATAGCAGAGCTAACTTTCCAAAAAATAAGAATATTCCAATAGATAAAAAGAACTATTGATGGTTTACTACTATGTCTCAGTCACTGCTCTGGGCACCTCACAACCTCATTTAGAGCGCACAACATGCTAAGGGGGTGGACACCACTTCGTTCCCATTTTACAGAAGGGGAAACTGAGGGCGGAAGAGTCAAGCAGTTTCCCAAGGTCATCCAGGATCTGACGCAGTCCTCCGGCTGGGTCAGCCAGGTTCCCCAGAAGCTTAGGAATGTGGGTTCTCTTTTTAGCCAGCAGTAAAGACGTACCTGAATTTGAAGTTTTATTTCATCCTCCAAGCAGGGCCGTATCCTCTCTCCCAGTAGGAATTAGGTCCCGTTAAAGTCACTTGGGATAAACAGATTTGTTAGAAAAGGCATTTTGGAATCCAGTTGAGTCTATTGCTTTTGACTTTGTTATGAATTTCAGTTTGGGTTAAGGGTGTATCAGACTTCAAAACATCTGGTTAGGTCATTTAAGAACCTTCCTGAGACTTCACAACCCCTTAAGACTTCCTTTCAAATTCAGACATTTCCTCCGTCATCACACTTTCTCCCAGTGCTGTGAGGAACAAGGAAACAAAGCTTCATTCATTTGAGAAAATGCTGGGAAGACCTCCTCAATCTGGTGTCAATGGAAATAAGATGTTTCACGTAAGTGAAATTTCAAGAACTCTAACCCTTAGACATTGAAGAACTGAAAATATTTTTCTCAATAGTTTTTGGTAGTTTTGCAGATTTTCCTCCTTTCCTTCTTGCTTTTCCCTATTTCTTGATAACCCCAAGCTACAATGATCATCCTTGTTAACTAACAGTCTGCACTGGTGAGAGTCTCTGGAAAATGCTCTTTGGGGGTCTGGGACTCCTAAACAAATGTCACTGTGCAATGATAATGTTCCCTAAGTTGCTTGACACCCTGAGACCTTAGGGCACAAGCAGGACCGTGTAACCTGACAGCAGTGCAATAGTTTGAACACAGATCCAGGTTTGCACGGGGGTAACGTGATCGGCATTGGGGCGGGGAGCACACGAGAGGGCTGGTGAATTGGCTGGGTGGGTGGTTTGGTCAAGTCCCCCATTGGAGGCATGGCTATTCCTGGGTGATATTCCCGAAAGGAACACCTGGAATAGCTGGGCTCCAACATGGCCGTTATCTCTGTTGCAGCCACTGCGGGTCCACTGTCCCCACCCTGATCAGATGGCTTTGACCCGGATCCATGACACCCCTAACATCTCCCTGCTCAGAGACACTGTTCTCACTGTTAGAAACAGACATAAAATGAGTTGCATGTCCACAAGGTGGCCAGCAAGGTGGAGCCGATGTCTCTGTGCACCCAGGCCAGGGGTCCTCAGGCCAGGTGCCTGGAGCTCGTCTGCTGGACATCATCAACTTTACCCCCTTCTACCGAATTGCTCCCCACAGCAATCTCAGACATGCACATTCTCACCAGCAATAGAAGGGATTCCATGTCCTGCTTCCCTGTTCTCGCCAACACTTGGTCTTAATGATTCTTCTAAAAAATTGTTGTAAGACCTATGGAAACAATACCTTATTTATTGATCAGTTTCTATTTTTTTTTTATTTTTAATAAACCTCAATTGGTACTTCTCACAGCCTAGTTTCACCAGGCTCGTTTTCCATATTGTTGAAGAACTTCATGTTTGGGGAAGTTCTTTTGATGAGGGTCTGTGAATAAAAATTCTTTTTCGGCTTTTGAATGTCTGAAAAATCCCTGTCACTTTTGCTCGCATATTTCCTTGCATGTTAAGTAAGACTCACTGATATTCTTCACTTATCCGTAGAAACCTGCTTGCTTTTATTTTTTTGCTGAAATACATCACTCTCTGTCTAGCTTTCATTTTCTCTACTAAAGGGAATTCAGGGGAGGAAAAGCAGTTGGCAGTCCACTTTGCTCTAAGGACAACAGCACAGGTGTGATAACAAGGAGCAAACGACACCAGTCTCCGTGTGTGGAGGCAATAGAGAGCAGTGGGGACTGTGGCTAAGTGGGAGGTAGCAGATATATGGGGGGAAGGAAGACAGTATTTTGCAGCCCAGGTTGGTTCATTTTTCTCTCACCATCTCCAAAAGGGTCTTGGAAATTTAGGTTTTCATTATAAAAATCTCCCAGTGCTTTACATGATTTTTAAAAGCTGCTATAAAATTCAACTCTAAAATGTAAAAAAAAAAAAAAAAATCCCTCTATTAGTAAGCACCGTGCAGGCCTCGCAAGAGGTTTACGGGGTCCCTTTTGGCTTTGGGGACTTCAGTTTGCTTCCTGGGGATTGCAGCGCTCTTATCAGAGTCCCTCTGTGTTCCCAGTTAATAATTCAGCACCTCTTAATCATGTCTTCCCTCCATGGATTTGCAGCACTCACATTCGATTTATACCGACTTAGCGATCGTTTCATTCCTTGCTTTGCAGTTTCTCCAACAGTTTCATTTCGGTGTTTTATCTCATTATCTGGATTGCTCGCTCCTTCGGGCTAAGCCAGACACTGGATTAGACTCGGGGGAGGTTTGCTAGGTGGAGGCCCCCAGCCCGCTTCAAAGGGAGAAGATGGGAAAATGGGTAACTGACCCGGACAGAGAGTCCCAGGGGAGCACCTGAGCGCAAGAACACCCTGCCCGGGTCTTTTCCTGATCCCAGCCCTTATTTCTAGACTCAGCCTCATTGTCCCTTGCCTGCACCACGCCAGAAACTGCTGCCCCTGCCCCCCCCCACCCCCCCCCACCCCCGTCACTCTGGTCCCCTCTGGCTGCAGCCAAAGGTACTGATTATATCATCCTGGCCAGTTCTAAACCTTTCAGGATTTCTCACTGCTCTTTGGGCGAAGCCCCACCCCTTAATGGAGGCTAAGGAGACAAGGAGACATGCTTGGGTGGGCCCCATGGGTGGGCCCCACCCCCACCCTAAGGAGACATGCTTGGGTGGGCCCCACCCCACCCTCTCCAGCTCCATCCCCCCCTCCTCCCTGTGGCCTCCACTTCTTGACTGTCAGCTGCTCACTCACACTGTCTCTTCCCACCCCTGGCTTCGCACACACTGCGCCTTCCCTTGTGACTCAGCCCTCTCCCTGGCTACACCCTGAGCTCACCTCTCTGCAAGAGCTTCGTTCCAATCCCTGGGCTCTGTCAGGCTTCCCCAGGGCAGGTGTTCTCCACCAGTCCATCCCTGGCAGGTTGCACAGTCTCTGGCCGAAACATGCTCAGCGCATGGGGAAGGCAGGACAAGGCACTGCTGAGGAGCTGTCATTTTAGGAGAACTTCTGGGTCCCTCTGACCTTCAGTGTGCCAACGTATACCTTCTCTGTCACAAGATCAGGTCTTTACTTTTATGGTTAAAAACAAAGCTTCTGTCTATGCCCCCTCCCTGAGAACAGGGTTCAAGAGAAGGCAGGTGAGCTGTGGGGCCTTCTGGACTGTTCCGTGGCCTGATTATTTTGACCCAGCACAGCTGCAAGCAGCTCCCGCCAGACGGGCCGGGCCTGAGAAACGTGGTCTGGAAGGGAGGGTGTAGCTTTAGCAGGACATCCTGCTCTCTTGCCCCTGTCACCCGAAGCGTGGTCTGCGCCCATGCACCTGCCCCCCACCTGGGGTGCGTCAGAATGCCAGCTTCATGCAAAAAGGTGCTTCTGGCAGTTCCCCGTGGGCGCCATTGCACAGAAGGCCTGAGTGGGTGCCTAGAGGGACAGGCGGAGCACAGAGCTGTGTGAATGAAGGATGCTGGCAGGAGCAACGTCATAGGAATGAGGTGACGTCATAGGTGTGCATGTGAGGGAGTTTTCCTGTGGGTGGAGCCAGGAAGGGAGGGCAGCCCAGGTTGGTTCATGACCCGAGAGGAAATGCTTCGGTTTTGATTGAAGAAAGGGCCGGGGTGAGGAGTCCGTGGGTTTGGGGTGGGGCGGGGAGAGGTTCAGGGGGGCAGGCGAGGGTGCCTGGACTCTCCCTGCTTTGTCAGCCCCTCAGCAGGTTCCTGGGAAGCCCGAGCTCAGGCACTGAAAAGACTGTTTCATCTACGAGTTGCCATGACATCGGCCGCACGAAGCTTGCTTAACTGGATCCTTAACTGCTGCCATCAGAACCGAGACCAGGACACGCTCCCCCCAGGATCCGCTCCCTGGTCTAGCAGGTGGCAGCTCACCTGAGCTCCCTGTGAGCTTAGATCCACAGCGGGTGGAAGTCCTGGAGAGAGGAAGAGGGCGAGGGAAGGCCCCTGAGAGGGGGAGATGCGTCCCCGCTAAGGCTCGCATGTCCAGTCAAAGAATCAAGGTGAGACCCCCATTTCTGATTACTGACTTCCCCGGAGAAACAGGCCTGTGAACTATTAAATCTGCATGTGGCTCAAGAAAGTGGGGTGTGGTTTGGTAGGATCTTTGTCCTCATGATACAAGTCCCTCTCGTTAACACTTATGTGTCATAACTCGTGCCAGGCATTGTTCCAGGAAATGTACTTTTATCTATTTGTTTTACCCTGCCAACAGTCCAGGGAAGAACTCTTATCACTCTCCCATTTTATAGATGATGCACAGAGAGGTTGAGTCCTTTCACCCAAGTCACACAGCCTCTAAGTTAAAAGCAGAGCTGGCCTTCAAATCCATGGTGTGGGGCCACCCAGGACATGATCTCAACCTCTGTAACTGCACAGCCTCTTCTGGAGTCGGAAGACTATGCGGTGAAGGCTTGCATTCATGCATTCACTCATTCTGTACATCTAGAAGCATCTGTAAAGAGGAGGCCTCTGTTCAGGGATCCAGAGGCAAAATCAGCCAATTTCTGACCCTTGTATCAGGTTTTAGAAAGTGCTTCCTGGATGGCCCAGTGATCCTGTTCATGCAGGTTGACTTATATGCCTTTTGCAAGTTCCCATGATTAGAAACAGGAGTTAGAACATGAAGCTGAGTGTTCTGACCCCAGGCCCAGCTTTATTTCCATCCTTCCACACTTTTTTAAATTACAGAGATCAGCTATCCAGACGTGGGGTAAGAAGAAAACATGATGAACATGATTTGTGCCTTATAGAACATACTAAATACCCTAGGCAGACACAGATTATGATTCTGGAACAGATCACAGGCCACCATCCTAACAGAATCCCTCCTCCTTTATTAGCTGTCCTGGAGAGGGCTGGAGCAGTTGTCTTAAAAGAATGAATATGAAACGTATTGTTAAATGCACAACTAAATTGGCCACCAGTTCCACTCAGAAGGAAGTATGATGCTGAAACGCATCATTTCATCTAGAAAGCCCTGTTTGCCAGTTTATGAAAATAACTTTGGCTCCATTGCCCTCCCTTCTGCATTGACCTGCCCGCGGAAGGGTCGCCCTTTTGCAATGAACTCTCATTAAAATGCTCAGTTAGTGACATCGATAAGTCTACCCCTCCGAGAAGGCTGGCAAACCGGGGCTATAATGACATGGGCTTTCGTGTTCCAGAAGCATTGATTAACCCTCACCTGCCAGAAATCATTAGCAAACGGATTGCTATTTTCTGATAGTTTTGAAAGGAGGTTAAGTTTTAGTAAATAATCATTGGCTGCTTTCCCAGGGGAAACCTCCACAGCAGCAGCCCTAAAACGCCACATTGGCTGATTTTTTTAGTGGGTGTAGTTAGGAAGGAATGGAAATTGCATTCCAAGCAGCTAATTATAGGATAAGTGTGCCTACTTAGCCAGGCAGCAAGCATGTCAGCTCGGCACAGAGCTATTGCATTATATACATTTTCTCTTCTCTGGATAATTAACAGGATCAAAATATTACTGTCAGATTCGAGGGGAAAATTAACACATTATCTTAATTGTCTTTTCTATTCAGGTACAAGGCATTACCATTTCAAAAAGAGCTTGTCTAACACATTGGAATTTTAAACCACGATTCCTGAAGAGGTGGCTAATCCCTTTCCAAACTTTGATCTACTCTCGTGATAGCTTTGGGTCTTGGTTTCTCTGTTTCACTTTTGAACTGTTTAGAAATGATAACAGAGGGTCCAAGGGTGCCTGGACCCCGCCCATTCTGCCTCCTACCAGCCTGCAGTTCAGTTTTCAGACATCTTTTAAACTGGGTTAGACAAAGCTAGCATGAAAAGAAGACCCTATAAAATTAAAGAAACGATATGAAGATAAAGGCGATCCATCTTAAAATTCATCACTTCTGAATTATTTTACTATCATCTGTTATCGGGTTTATAGTGATCGTATCTTTATGGTGGAAGTGTCATAGAATGGCTACTTGGTGCTTGTTTTTTTGTTACAGGGCAGCCCCGATACAAAACGGGGTGCCTGGCTGTGGGGTCCTCACCGCACGCTTAAAAGGACTTATCAATACTCCACTGCAGGCGCACGCGAAAGGTTAATAAAAGGTTTATTTACAAGGGAAGGGCAAATGAGGGAATGTACAGCTCAGGGAGCAAAGTGGGAGACAAAGTTTTAAATGCGTCCTACCCGATCCGCTGATCAGGAATCCCAAATGGCGCTCTGAGAGCTGGCCGCCAGCCAGGAGCCCTGAAGCCAGGAGGCGAGCGACAGAGCGACCCCCAAGGCCCACGTGTCTGGTTTTTATACCACACTTGGCTGCTTAACTCCACCCTCAGGTCCCAGCCACCTTCCCTTGGGTGGTGACAGGATTCGTCTTTCCCAATGTCCTGATGGCTTTGGTCTGGAGCGGGGGTGCCGTCCACAAAGCCTGCGTGGAATTAGCTCAGAACATCCTTTCCCCCTAACAGTTTCACTCTGCATTCACTGGCATTAGCTTGAAATCAGCTGTGGTGGAGGTAGGTATAGTATGGGAATTGGCAAATAGTATCAGCAGGGCTCAGGAGTGGCTGTATCTAGGAGTTCAAATGCTCTTATTGGCTTTCAGTTCTGCTCTCTTTTATTTCCAGGCAGGGCTTACCATGATGGAATGAAATAGCTTTGCAAAGTGTCTTACGAGTATCCGGTCGATCTCATGTCAGAAAACCCCCAGCTAAGAGGGTATCACTTTCACAGGGGTTGCAACAGCAAAGTCCTGTGTTGTATTCACCTGCCCTCGATCATGTGCTCATTGCAAGCCAATCACAGAGATGGGGTGCCCTAATTGGCTTATGACATCATTTTTGGAACTGGGGGTAAGGACCAGCATGGGCCCCACATGAAAGCCCAACGGACAAGGAACGAGTGTGAAGTGTGGTTCTCCAGAAGAACATCAGGGTAGGGAAAAAGGTGTTCAACCCTTGGGTGCTGGGCAGGCAGAGGCCGCAAATGCCCACTGTAAAGATCATCGAAGCCCTCTCTGGACTGTGGTTCCATGGGGCAGCATCACCCTGGAGTTTGCTAGAAATGTAGAATCACAGGTCCCTGCTCAGACTTCCCAAACCAGAACCTGCTTTGCTGGTACAATTCCCCAGGGGACTTGTATGCGTGTAATAGCACAGCAGGCGCTGCCCCAGGCCCAACGCTTCACTCTGCAGGAAACTAAGGCTCTCCCACAGTCCCCTAGTTAAGCACATAAATCCCTGCCACCTCAGAGCCAGGCCACTGATCTGCTCCCCAGCACACCTGCCAACCCACACTCCCCCCAACCTCCCCGAAATGAAACTGTGATGGTGCTCTCCCTGGCCGATGAGGCTGAAACTGTCTTAAATTCTACGCCCTGTCAGGACAGTGGTTTTAAAGTAAGGCCGGAAAATAAATTGCCAGTGTTTCCCCCAAACAGCCTGTTTTCAGCTCTCCATTGGCGAGCAATACAAAATTCAACTTCTCACGTGTTGTTCACACACACACACACACACACACACACACACACACAGTGGAACATTAATCCCCAGACACCAGGTCACCAGGTGGTCGTGTTTTGCTGCTGTTGGGCTGGGACCGAATCCTGTGTCTTTACTCCGTTGTCACGGTCACCATCAGCATCGCCACATCATCATCTTCGTCATCGACATGGCCAGGGCCATCATCACCGCACCCATGACAGTCACCCTCAGGGCCTGTTTTTAAAGCCTTCCATTCTGGAAGCCCGTATGCATAGGCACCGAGGTTAGGCCTCTCCCCTGCTTCCTTCCATGTTGACATCAGGAATAACACACATGGTTAACAGATTTTCCACATGTTTTTCTCCTTGGCTGACATCGCCCGCCTCCACCAGGGCAAAGCCTGTGATCAGAGAGAGTGTTGATTGACTGCTTAGAGGGCCTGAGCCTTCATGAAAACACAGGAATGACAGTTTATATAAATATCCTGACACTTTTTTTCCTTATTCTCCCCCCCTCCTTTAAATTCCCGTTTTTATTTTTTCTTTGAGCTTAAAATTAATATTTTCTTTGTGGACATGTAATATCCCGGCATGCCTCAGAGCTCGCTCAAGCAGCTTGGTAGAGTTTCCTACCTAATTGGTAGGAATTACCCATGTGGAATTCTCCTGCCTCGGCTTTCCAATCGATCTCATGTCAGAAAATAAGAAAAAAAGACCATCTCCCCAATTACATAGTGTAATTTATTGTTTCCTTTAATAGAATAGCTACAAAGATTCAGGCTTGGGCTGATGTTTTTTGGGGGGCCAGCTCTACAAAGTTCCAATTATTTGGGTACTTTGGGCCAACAGACCCTCCCTCATTTGTCCCAATTAGTTGGCTAATTGTAGCTGTTTGGTTCTGACCCGGAGGGATTTTGGCTGCTTCCAAAGCAGAGGGAAATAAATGATGTCGTTTCCTTTGGAACAACATTAAAGTCGGAAAGATTTTAATATGTGCAATTTTCCCACTGATACCATTTTACTTTCTGGACGCCCTGCAGTGGAAGGAAGATTTTGCTTTGTTGACGGAGGTGAAATTATTTTTTTTTTCGTTCGTGGTCTCAGAAATCTGTCATAGTTATGTAGTACATATTTTCCAAAAACCTGTTTTAGCCATTGGAGGACATCAGTGAAATATTCTCTTCTGCTCTTCCAGATAATTCTAACTGGCAGCAGGCTGACCCCAAGCTCTGTCAACATCCACCTAAGATCTTATGGGACTCGGGGCTCATCCCGCTTTGGGAAAGAGGATGGAATTGGCTGTGACACCACCACTTGCCCAGCATCATGCTTTTTCCCCCCGGGGTAGAGCTGCTTCCTTGAAGAAGCTTCAGTCTGTCACCTGCTTCCCAGCTCTGTGTTCCCACAGCCCCTGACTTCCAGGGACCCCACCACGGAAAGGTGCCCTGGGGTCCTTCCTGTCTCACGCTTGCCCACACCTTCCGAGCGGCCCAAGGGTGCTGCTTATTTGTATTTCCCGGTTCCCAAGGGATTACATGCCCCAAGATCTCCCTTATGGAATTCTTAACCACCACCCTATCCCACCCTAGTCCAGTCCTAAGATACTTGACAAATACCCTTTAGTTCACCTTTGCTCAGAAGTGATGGAATCTGGTCAAAAATTCTGAGTTCAAATCCTGATTCTGACTATTGCGCTGCCTGGCCTTGGGAGACCCCTTCTGTTTCCCTGGGTCTCAGTGTTCCCCATCTGGCAAGTGGAAGGCATTGACTAAGCTCTAGGCTTAATCCCAACCTGACAGTTAATCCATTGGAGAGATGGCAACCATAAACCTAAATGTTTCCCACCTGTGAAAAGATCCCAACTATTTTGCATTGGTAAACAACTAGCAAAACAGGAGCCACCCTGGTGGCACAAGGGGTTAAGGCTCAGCACCGTGAAGCAATCCTCAGCCACTGCAGCACGAGTTCTATCCCCGGCCAGGGAGCTACCCACATGGCGCAGCGGACCTCTCCTGTCTCGCCCGCTGCTCCCCTCAGCAGTGTATTTCGGTCTGTCTGCCTGTTCTGCTCCCCACTCTGTCTCTGGTGAATCCTCTCACCCCCCCCCACCTCTGGCTTGTACCCCAGTTCCTGTATGCATAAATAAATAAATCTTAAAAAAAATTATTATTCAAAATAATGACCAGTCAAAAAAACAGCTGTGCAGTCTTGCCTGTAGCTTGTTCAGTCTCTCTGTCTTCCTTGGCAAATGAATGTTTTTGTCTCTGCGCCTGTGAATGTCTAAACACATCTAAGGAGAAAATTTCAACTCTAGTTTTCCCCTCTGTGGGCCGGTCTTTTGAACTGCAAATATATGAGCAGAGACTATTTATGCATTCAACCTCTCTTGTACATGTTTGACTGGTGAGATAGCAGGTAAGGGACTATTTACAGATATCTTTGAGAATAATATAAGTACACAAGGGGGCCAGGAATAATAGGTTAACATCACAGAAAATGTAGGTTGGGTATAAACTTCCCAGCAGTTTGCATGATTCAATTATGAAGTAGCATCCCATAGGAGGGACTTTGATCATCTGCGCTGGAGACAGTTTCAATTTCATTGGATTTTTGAAAATATCTCAGAATGATCTCTGCAGAAACAGGAGGCGAGGCTGCTGAATTTGGGGTCTTTTCTGTATTCATCTTTCTTTTTCCCTCATTTGCTAATTTCCTTGAATAATCATTACAATGAAGTGTAACAAAGGATCCTTCCAGGATTTCAGAGAAGCAAAGGCATATGCGCATTTGGCAGGGGGCTAGGAATGCATGTGTGCTATTGGGTGGGGTGGGGGCGGTTCTCTAAGCCTAATCCAGTGTTCCTGGCTCCGGCACAAAGTGAACGTGTTTCACTTATAGCTCATGACTCAGAGTGTGGAACTTGCTTAATATCATTGACTCTTGCTTTCTTGAAGACTAGAATATTCCATTCTTATTCTTCTGATACTGCGGGTAGCTGTTGCAAAGTAAAATCAGACTAAGAAAAACTCCAAAAAAAGTGTTTTCAAGAGTTCTTTCTTCTTTCACTCTTCTGTCGCTTCCTTTTCTCTTCTACGTTGAATAATTTGAGCAGAAATAGTGTTTGTGTTGGTAGGTTTTGTCAACATTCTCAGATATTCAGAGTACTCTTTCAATGTAGAATTTCAAAATTATTTTCTCCAGTAAAGTTTCCCTAACCTACAGTATTTATCATTTGCTCTCTTTCCATGTTGCTGATTTCATTTTCACTTTTGAAGACGTCCCTATTATTCATATGTTGGACAGCATTTGCCATCTTAAACAGTCGCCGCTTTGTTCAAATCCCTTTTAACTCTTTCTAAACTACATTTATATTTTTAATTTTTGTTTTGACCTA